TCCTGTGTGCTGGGCCAGCAGCAGGCCTCTCTGTCTCTCCTGTGTGCTGGGCCAGCAGCAGGCCTCTCTGTCTCACCCACTCAACCCCATGGTACTTTCCCAGTACTGGTTTTCTCCTTGCCACTGCTTGGCTCTTTCAGTTCTATTCCAGCTCTGATCCTAACCAGCCACCGATCTGTGGTTGTTAACATAGGAGGGAACATTCGCTCTAAACCATCTGAGAAAGGAAGCCTTGCATATGTGCTTTGTTTGGGGTAAACTAAGTCCATAACAGACATGAAAGCACACCTTGGGAAAACACCCTCCCCTGGGGTGATTCATCTTTGTCTTTTCTGTTTTATTTGAGTCCATTCATCAAATATTTACTATTAACAGGGCTGCTTTCTCCACTGGAAACCACCATGATCTGATTCTCATGCATATTCAGATTAATTTCCACATGGACACGGCCTCCGGCGGCGATGTTTGACCTTGATAAACCTCTATGATTAGAGTTGCAAGATAAAGAGGCATAGATGGTGTGGGATGTCTTTCCATGCGCAATACAGCTCCATTTCATGACAAAGGTATAGCAGAGGCAGGTGGAAGTCCTGCAGCACTGCATGGATACCACAAACTTGTGACCAGCCATGCCGTGAACCGTGCACCTGAACGGACTTGCCGCTGGAGGCAAGCGGGGGCGTGTCTGAGTGGTGCTGTGTACCTTGCCGCAGCTCCGGCAGTGGTGCTTCCTGCGGATGACGGTGAAGGGAGCCTTGCAGGCCGTGCAGTAGCTGCAGGCCTCGTCGGGAACCCAGTCCGGGGGATCTGAGGGGGAGGGAAGCCACAGGGTCAGACGTGGGACCGGGCGGCCGCAGAGACGAGAGAGCGATCGCAGCAGCCCTTGCGCATCAAGACACGTGTCTTTATTTTTTCTACAAGGCTTGTGAGAGTCCCAGCCATAAATTTGGACGGGACACTCTGGCTTCGTTCAGGAAACAGCTGGTTGAAATCCTGGGGTCAAAAAGCTATTAACTGCCAAATGGCCAGATGGGATGAATAGGTTCCTCTCGTTTGTAACCTTTCCTGTGCTCTTAATGCCAATTAGATGAGATCCCATTGAAGCATTTGTCACAGGAATCAGACAACGACAAACTTGTATAGAATATATACATGTATACGAATTAGGGAACATTAATATTTTATTTACTAAAGATAGCTATACTCCACCGATAGGCCCTCACATGGGCAAAACAGCTGTCCATAGCTGCTGACGTTGCCTCTAATACAGCAACAACGGTACTGCTTTGAAGTGTTGTGAAATGGCCATAGCTAACTAATGTTCATATTGTCATAGTTCATAGTAATTACTATCTTCTTGTTTAGAAACAGAAAATAGGAGAAAGCTACATTAACTAACATTATTCTGCCTTTCTTTCACACCTGCAAGGCTTTA